TTTGAAGAATTCACAGTTCAAAGGCTTTGGGCAGGAAAGCCAAATGAAGAGACAATTTGAACAGTTGTCTGATTGACTTCATCCATCCACACTAGGAGTTAAAATAATCCAGAATTTTTCCTACCAGAAGCTTTTAGTTGTACTGAGTATCCAGTTAATCATGTCCACTATCCTCTTTATTTTTTCTTCAGTATAGACACTGGTTCATTTTTTTGTGACACAGCCAATAAGATGTGTTGAAACGATAGATCTGTCTGGTGCTTACTGCAAAACCCAACTTTGTGATTAAACCATAGCAACGCAGCAGGTTCAATTAAACAAAACAGCTCAAATCGCCACTGTTGGTAGGTTGTCAACTGAGCTGGCACCAGAAACAAGGTTTGTAACTCTCAGGAATATCCCAGTGCCACCCGATGTCCACCCAGAGCATCAGCCATGATGTTGTCTCTTGTTAGTGTGTCTCTGGGGCAGGTTAGTCTTCCTGGTCTTTGTTTCCTCATCGGTAACAGAGAGGTGGCTATGTTTACTTTGCAGGGGTTTTATGATAAACAAATGACATAATTCCTTTGATAATGGACTGACACAGTAAACAGAACACAGTAAGCACTCAAAAAAATGAGTTGTTGGTCTAAAATAAGTTTGTATATAAATTTACTTTGTTAATAATTTAGCATAACAGTTAAAAATCCACCTTGTCATTTTATAACTAATCAATAATAACTATATGGCTAAAGAAAATACTATATATAGAATAAAAGACCCTTCTCAGAGAGTAATGGACTATGTTAATGCTTTCAGGAAACATGTTCAATCTAGGACTACTTAGGTTTGTTCTAATGGTATTACTTTATTCAAAGTTTCTCCAGGAATAATCTCATAATTAGCTTATGCATTTTTAAAACAAATGCTGTCTAACCCTGACTGGTGTGGCTCAGCAGTTAGAACATTGTCCTGTGGACTGAAGGGTCTTGGGTTCGATTTCCAGTCAAGGGTACGTAAGTACCTGGGTTTCAGGTTCAACCCCCAGCCCCAGTCGAAATCGAAATTTTGTGGGAGGCAACCAATCTCTCTCTCTCTCTCTCTCTCTCTCTCTCTCTCCCTCTCTCTCTCTCTCCCTCCCTCCTTCCCTCCCTTCCACTTCATCTAAAAAAAAAAAAAAATCAATGGAAAAAATATCCTCAGGTGAGGATTAACCAAAAGGGTGATTAAGGAGGTCATAATGCAGACTACCAAGGAAGGTCTCATAATTGTAATGTTTTATTCATCAGTAATAAACCCTTAATAAAACCTGGTCATACTCAGTAAAACTACACATGAAAAATAAAACATGTGCCCTGGCCGGTTTGGCTCAGCGGTTAGAGCGTCCGCCTGCGGTCCTGAGAGACCTGGGTTCGGTTCCCGCTAAGGGCGCGTACCTTGGTTGCAGTTTGTCCCCGGCCCTGGTTGGTCGTGCGGGTGGCAGCCACTCGATGTGTTCCTTTCGCATCGATGTTTCTCTCTTTCTCTCTGTTCCTCTCTCTCCCTCCCACTCTACCTGAACAAAAAATGGGAAAATGTCCTCGGGTGAGGATAAATAAATAAATAAATAAATAAATAAATAAATAAATAAATAAAACATGTAAGTACTAAGTATTAATTTGTGATTTTTTGATCTGATGTGGTAAAAAATATCAGTTAGAGTCGGAGAACCTGGCCCATGGAAATTCTGTAATGACTAGACACTTGTCTGCGAGCAGGAAATTTGATCTCTGTGAGCTTCAGTTTCCTTAAAAAAAAAAGTGGAGATGGTAACAACCACCAAGATGACTTTTAGATAACTTTCCCATTAAGTCAATGTGATAAAAGGCATGAAAACATGCTAAAGTGTATGAAATATTATAGAAAAGGTCATTATTGTTATGAAAGGCTTAATAAAATACTCCCAGTGCCCTGGCCAGTTTGGCTCAGTGGTTGGAGCGTCGGCCTGCGGTACAGAGAGACCCGGGTTCGGCTTCCGCTACTTCGGTTGTAGTTTGTCCCCGGCCCTGGTTGGTCATGCGGGTGGCAGCCACTCGATGTGTCCCTTCACGTCGATGTTTCTCTCTCCTCTCTCTTCCTCTCTCTCCCTCCCACTCTATCTGAACAAAAAATGGAAAAAAATGTCCTCGGGTGAGGATAAAAAAAAAAATTAAAAAAAAAATACTCCCAGTTACTTCTTGATACTTTCAGCCTTAGGTTTTATAGGCATGCAGAATGAGTATAAAACAATAAAAATTTATGATTGTCCTTATATTTTTTGATCCTAACAAATGTTACCTATGAATTGATTATAATGCTCAATTCAGTGGTTTGCCTGTAACATATATGCTACCAGGATGATCCTTTCAGAAACTGGAGATGGTAGCAGCTATGAGTGATTTCCCTATAAAGGCATAGTTAAAAAAGTTCAACATGAAAACCTGACATGATAGGGACACCATCTGTTTAAATTCTACTACAGTGGGACACTTTGTTATTACTTTGAATTGGATATCTGTCACTTGTCAAGGTTTGGATATATCGTATAACATACAGTATAATCCTATAAAGCAAAAATCAGAAGAATCCTTTACAGAAAGGCAGACAGGGCTTTCTGACACCAATCAATATTATAGAAGACATATATAATTGTAAATTGTGTGTTTATATTTTTAAAAACACAGTGAAGGGCCCTGGCCGGTTTGGCTCAGCAGTTAGAGCGTTGGCCTGTGGTCCTGAGAGACCCGGGTTCAGTTCCCGCCATGGGCATGTACCTCCGTTGCAGTTTGTCCCCGGCCCTGGTCGGTTGTGTGGGTGGCAGCCACTCGATGTGTCCCTTTCACATTGATGTTTCTCTCTCTCTCTCTCTGTTCCTCTCTCTCCCCCCCCCACTCTACCTGAACAAAAAATGGAAAAAATGTCCTCAGGTGAGGATAAAACAAAACAAAACAAAAAAAACCACAGTGAAGGCTAAATTGTAATAGCAAAACAATGGGGAATAAGACAATGGAATGGATAGTGCACAGCCTTTTAATCCTGGTTCCAATCCTTGCTTTGAAGTATAATTTCTGCTTGAGCCTCAGTTCTCTCACCTGGAAAATGGGCTTAATAACCTTACCTTGCAGAATAACTGTGAAACTCAGAGATTACCCACCAGCCAGGGTGTATATTACATACACCATTCAGCTCCTAAGAAACCAACCTAGAATAACCAAAATGTGTGTTATTTGTATTTAGTTGCTTCATCCCCAAATTGACTACTCATAGGATTTTATTTCAACTACTATGATTACAATACCATCTTCTACTATGGATACTCTAAAAAGGTATGAGACACAATCCTTCAAATTCCTTCAGTGAATTTCTTCTTTGAAACCAGCATGCACCTTGACAGAGCTGAGGAACACTTTTGCCCATGGGAAGAGAGAGAGAGAGAGAGAGAGAGAGAGAGAGAGAGAGAGAGAGAGAGAGATTAGTTTCCCCGTCTGTGGCTGGCTCTCTTTAAAATCCCCAGAATACTTTTCCAGCTTTTATATACTTTCCAAACTTTTAAATGGACCCGAGAAACCCTTAGCACTAGTTGTTATACAGCGTTTAGATCAAAGCAAAAAATGTTTTGAGATGCTGACTCCAAAGATAGCAAAATATATATAAAGATTTAAGATTAATTATTAACATGTCTTTCTTTCCTTTTCCTTCCTTCCTTTTTAAATTATCACCCGAGGGCATGCTTAGAGGGAGGAAAAGAGAAAGAAAGAGAAACATCGATGTGGGGAGAGATCGGATCGATCACATTGATCAGTTGCCCTCCGCATGCGCCCGGTTGGGGAGATGGAACCTATAATCCAGGCATGCGCCCTGACCGGGAATCCAACGGGCACAAGCCTAGGCTCAACCCACGGAGCCACTCTGGCTGGACATGCCACGTTCTTTCTAAAAAGTCATCAGGCCTGGCTGTGTTAAGACCGGGCCTGGAAAAGCAATAGGGTGTAGAAACCCCTGGGGAGTGAGGGCTAGCCCTGGGGACCTATGAGCAGAATAAAGGCAGAGCACTTTCGGAGAGGGCCCGGGTGTCGCTCGCCTCGGATCCGAGGAGGTGGCGCCTTGGGAGCTTTGCTCAAAGTGGGCGCTGGGTGGTGAGCGGGTTCGCAAGCCTGGCCGCCCGAACAGATCTTGCAGTGCAGTAGTGTGCAAGGCTCTGGAAAACACATGTCCCTGGGGCCATTTGGGGGGGTGCTAGCCACCCTAGGCTCCAATGCCCGGAGGTGGGAAGTTATTGAACTTTCACAGAACGGGACCTGGAGCCCGAGGGGTGGCGGCTGGGTGCGGGGCGCTGCAGGCCGGGAGTGGGGGAAGGGCGGAGGCTGTTCCCGAGCCTCTCGGATCCAGCCCAGCGCTCGGCCGACGGGACGAGGCGCGGAGCCGGCGCTCACTTCCCCGGGGTCTGCTCGCCCTCCGGGGACATGCGGGAAGCGGAGGTGTAGACGGTGGGGGGACAGGCGCTTCCGCAGCCCGAGCGGCCGCCCGGCCAGGGCGCGGCGGGAGGATCGGCGGCCGCTGCTCACTGCACCAACCTGCGGGCGCCGGCTGGCTCCGCGGCCCCGCCCACCCGCACAGCCTCCCGCGCTCCTGCCCCGCCGGCCCGGGTCCCAGTCGGTGCGGCAAGGAGCCGGGAGCGGAGCGCCGCTCGGGACTGCTGCCGCCGGCTGACCGCGCAGCCAAGCCCTTAGCACCAGCACTTCTGCCTCCGGGAGCAGCCTCCCCAGCCTCCCTGCCTCTCCCACCCCGCCACCCCTCCCTCCCGTCCCCGCCCCGCCCCCTCCCCCGCCCCGCTCCCGCCCCGCCCCTTCCACACCGCCCGCCGTGCGCTCCCGCAGCTCCTCCCGCTCCCCGCGCTCCCGGTCCGTCTCGCTCCCGCCCAGCCTCCTGCTCGCCCTCGGTGCCCCGCTCTCGGCGACCATCCCGAGCCCGCAGAGCGCCGCCCGCCGCCTGGTCATGTCAGGATGGAGATCCGGCAGCACGAGTGGCTCTCGGCCTCCCCCCATGAGGGCTTCGAGCAGATGAGGCTCAAAAGCCGCCCCAAGGAGCCCTCGCCGAGCCTGAGCCGAGTGGGCGCGAACTTCTACAGCAGCGTCAAGCAGCAGGACTACAGCGCCAGCGTCTGGCTCCGGAGGAAAGACAAGCTGGAGCACGTAAGGGCGGCTCGCTCCCCGGCTGGGCCCGCGCTGCCGCGCGCACACCCACCGACCCGGCGCGGCCCGGGCGCGGGGCTCAGCCCCCGCGGCAGGTGGCCCGACTCGAAGGCCGGGCGCCCGCGTCCCCCTTCCGATTCGGGGCATCTCCGTCTGCACTTTCTTGCCGTCATCACCGGGTTGTGGGGAGGAAAGGGGGCTCCTTTCCAGGGCTGCCCGGCGGCCGCACAACCCCACCTCTCCGCAGGCTTCCCCGCTGTAGGGCTCACTTACACTGTGCCTTGGGGGTGCGGGGTGACAAGTGGAGCTGACCAGCGTGGTCGGAGGAACCCGGCGTTGCGCGGTGGTGGGCTTTCGAGGGGCAATTGTGCGGGTCTTTGGGGATTATTTAGCTGCGTCCACAAACTAACAAATTGAAGAAGCCATAAAGTTGTCGCCGCTGACAACTCAGCCGGGGCCCATGCACAGGCAGAGTTTTCTGCAGAGTGGCCTCTGGGATGAGCAATTGCCGATCCCCTTTACCTGAGCCTGACTCGGGAGAGATTTGCGCGTAGCAGAGAGAAAGGAAACCGAGAGCGATCGCCCAGCTCCCCAGGAATCCGCTGCTCCGGAGGGTGGGAGCCGGGAGCTGGGACCTGCAGCCCCGTGGAGCGCGGGCTTCCCGCCAAGCGTTAGGGCTCTGGGCTGAGCCCCTGAGGCTCGTCATTCTGGAAGAAAAAGTCCCTCTAAAGAGGCGTTTAGTGGATCCACAGTTTCAAATGTGACCCATCAACACCCCCTTAAACCAAATGTTAGAGTGAAATAAAGAAAATTATCTCAAGAGTGGCGCACGACCGGCTAAGGAGAGGGTATTCCTTCCCGCGGAGAGGCATAGTCTAAATTGTGTCTGTTCGTGGAGTGTGGAGGTTCCCTTGTGTTTGGGTCACAACACCAATTTTGATAAAAAGATAAGAATGAGAACTTCTGGAACGCACACATCTAACGCTGCACGGACCTGAACCCCATTCCCACCCCCCACCCCCACTTTGGGCTATGCAGAGACAGCAAGCTTCCCAGGAGGGGGCCTGCAAAGGGGACGTTTCTCTGACACTCTGGAAGGAAGGTCCAGGCTTTTTCTCTGAGGGCCTGATTAAGTCACTGGAAGCTGAGATGTAAAGCTTTGAGTTAGGGACCGGTTTCTGCCTTGCGTGTAGAGAACCATTTTCTTAACATCAAAAGGATGTCTCATCCTTAAGACCACGGAAATAATTGAAGCGGATTTCTAGAATGACAAGTTGAGAGGCGACTGTATCTACTTAAAAATGAAAGCTCTAGAATTAGCAAAGGAGCCCGTGGTGTTTTAGTAGTTTAAAGGGGGAGCAAATAACATCTTCATGTAATTTGCTGCCTGATATTATCTGGTTTTAGTACCAGGGAGAATGGTCTCGCCTAGGATGGTGATACATCTTCATTTCAGTTTCTCTTGGAATGTATGTTAACTTGCAGCTTGTGCTTTTAGCGGATCTATTTCCTTTATTCTCTTGCTGAAAATCAATAGTGCAATCTTCTACGAATATGCCTTCTTGAGTCATAGACACTGCATGCATTATATTCACATGGTTTCTCCCGTTTAGGTTTTCAGTGAAAGTATGAAGTCATCCTGGGTGGGCCCTGGTTATCACCTTTCTGGACAAGTGTAGGATGCTCAGCCCCTCCTGAGAGTTAGAGACCAAGGAAAGGAGAATCTGGTTGTTTGAAAGCATGCAAGGGTCTCTGCTTTCTTCTTTGCTCAGGTGCTCCAAAGGAGAGCATTGCATTCATTTATTTATTTTTTTATACTTTTTTTCTTTATTGATTTTAGAGAGAGAGGAAGGGAGAGGGAGACAGACAGAAACGTCGATGAGAAAGAACATTGATTGGCCGCCTCCTGCATGCCTCCCACTGGGGATCGGGCCCACAACCTAGGCATGTGCCCTGACTGGGAATGGAAACTGCGACCTCTTGGTCATTGCATTTATTTAAAAAACAAACAATCGCCTCATTTGTTATTTAAATTAACATAACATTTTTTGCTTTCTCACATACATTTTATGAAACTTTTTCTGTTTTTCTCTATACTTGCTTTAGACTAGAAAGAAGACTTTGCTGCAAAGGAAATTTTTGTGCTATTATTTTGCTCCTTTGAAACATCTACAAACTTTTAAAATAAAATAATTATGAAAATGCTATAAAAGTTAAATTTGCATAAAAATGTTAATGTATCTGAATTCAATTTCTGAGTGCTTAGAATATATAGCAAATGTTTTGTACATTGTGATGTGGCAGGTAGTTTGATGTTAGCTTCAAATTAATTAAGAAACCCATAACTAATGTAACCCAGCATATTATGGCCACACAAAACATGAAAACTTAATGTTGACTTTATTACAGACAACGTTCCGGACACATGTGGCACCTTTGGATTTAGATGTTACAGAGATTAAGATGAGCGTGTCATATGAAGTTCAAAAGTGACGGTAGTTAAAAAAAAAACAACACACTCTTTGGTCTGCCTCATTCACTGGATGGCCATGATTTGTATTATGTTAAAAGTGAATTAATAATTATTACAGAGATCATTTGCATGAAAACAACCTACTGTTATTTTGCTGGTGCTTAAAGAGTCAATCTAGGATTAAGGACATAAATAATGTATGGCTTCAAGTGCCACACGTATTCAGTCACTGCAGCACCGGAATCCCCTGTAATGAAACGTGGCTGGGTGGACTCAGTCCAGACTTCGGAGGCATTGCTTAATCTGAAAGTCAATAGCAGTATAAGGGGACAGCCAAAGAATATATTTCCACCCACTTTGCTTAAAATGAGGCTACATGGTTTCTTTCTCCTTTTCTAGTGTAAAGGCAACAGGACTATCCCCGGGTTGGACAGGAGAAAAGTGACATGCATTGGTGCAGGACTGGAATATTTCAACCCACCTGGAAATTTGAGTCCTGTCATTCAGTGGTCGGTGGGTACTTCCACAATGAACACATATTAAGGAATAAATGCGTGTGAGGGAATCCTTCCCTTCTTAAGTCATGGTTAGAAGCTACAAGGAAGATGTGTTTGTACTGTGGATTCTGGACATTGAACTCCACTTGGAAATTTCAGGGACAAGTACAATTGCTGGCTGTACGTGGAATGCTGTCTAATTAGCTACAAACAGTGCTCTTGGTTCTTCGGTTATTTCGCGCCCAGTGCTGCCTCCCAAGGCTGATGGATTTCGAAGGGTTAGGTTCGGGAGACAGTGGAAGTCTCTTTTCTATAGGATCTATATTTACTTTAGATAAATGTAAAAGTGCAGTATATAGTCTAACAAAACAGAGGAGTACATGGACACTTCTAGAACCCCTCAGCCCTCCCCTGCTCTATCCGCCCTCCCGGGGCTGGGTCCCTTTCAGGGTCATTGTTTCATATGGTTTCACTATCCACAGGACAGTGTAACATTGGACTGGTGTCCTTTGGTGGTATATGGCCTGTTTGAACTTTTTTTTTTTTTACAAAGTAGGAGAGGCTACTCTGCTTAGTTGCCTGGTTTGATGTCAGTTGTGTGTGTAGAAGTTTCCTGATGCATTTATGGGGTGGGGATGCCTTATGTTCTCTCCTGATTTTCTTTTTCCAAAGTGAGGATAGGAGTGGGACTCTGGTTAGACAGACCTGGATTTAGATTCTGACTCCATCTCTTATTAGCTCTGATCTTAGGCAGAGGACTCCCAGTCCCCAGGAGGTATGTTCACCATCCTCTAACAAAGCAGTTGCATGTTTGCTGGGATGACTCAAGTAGACAGTTCCTGTCTATACTGCAGGGACATACAGTCCCCTAATGTCGGGGTCTCAGCACCACAAAAGTGCATGTTCCCCTCATGCTTCTCATCGCGCAGGTTGGCAGCTGTCTTTGGGGTGGGGTGCTATAACATGCCACGGACTCGGTGGTTTACACACAACACACACGTATTTCTCAGATCTGGAGACTGAGAAGTTCATGACCAAGGTGCAGGCAGATTTGGTGTCTGGTGGAAGCCTGCTTCCTGGTTCGTAGGCAGCCGTCTTTTCGTTTTCATTTTATTTTATTTTCTTCCTTCCATCATAGCCCTCTTCATTGAGTCCTAGTGGTAGAAGTGAAGGGAGCTCTCTGAGGCTGTTTGATAAGGGCACTGATGCCGTTCATGACGGCTTCATGACCTGATCACCTCCAAAGTCCCCACCCCCAAGTGCCAGCACACTCGGGATTGGGATGCAACATCTGAAGTTTGGGGAATAGAAACACCTGGATTTTGGGGAATACAAACATCCAGTTTATAGCAAGAGGGTATTTTCCTCGTTTTAGTTGTCTGGACTGAAGGAAGCTCTATCCTGATCATTGTTCTCATGATGGTCAAGTTAACGGGATGTTTGTAATGTCGCTCACTGTCTCCACCCAGAGGTGATACATCCCTTGGCTCCTTTTGATTGGCCAAAGAGAGTTTCATGGCCAAGGCTGCTTCAGAGAGTGAGGAGGGCAGATTCAGCCAAGACCCCGAGAAAGAGAAAGAGAACGAGAACATCCATGACATAGGACAGCCACAACCCATAAAACTCTCAGTACAATTCACGACCCATGTGAAACCTCACTGCACTGTACCTCCACGTGCAATTTCTTCTCGGGTGTTGCCTGGCTGGCTGAGCCCTCACATGCCACCCGAAGAGCTTCTGCTTTTGCAAGTTGAGATCAGCCTGTCTGCTTACAGTTCTGGACACAGGGCGGACGGGTTCTTTCGCCAGCAAAGCCAGCTCACTGGAGCCCGGGAGCTGCCTCCTTGCCTCCAGTCTGTCCCCCGGGGGCCTGACTCTTTCCTGGGCCAGTGACCCCAGCTTGCTCCCTGCCTGGCCATTCTGTGGCTGACTCTTTTTCCCAGTCTGTCTGCAGGCTCTGCTAGCAGAGACCAGCTCCTTGCTCGGTCCTGAACCCCTCTTTCCTTTGCAACTCAGTGCTGGCTGAATTA